TAAAAGATGAACCTAGAAAACAGCTGGTTTAGAAACTGTATTGTGTTTAGCAGTAGTCTGTAGAGTAATGCTAACACGTAATACTGATGTGACTGTAGGATTAGTTAATGGTGCCATTGGTACAGCAATTGGTATTTATGCTACACATATATCAATTAAATTTGGTCATATTGATGTACCTTGTGACATAGAGAGAGGGTTACATTTTGATTTATGCTATCTAAGAATCGGTATATACATAGGAAACGGTTTCCCCTTATACTTTCTTATGCTATTACTATTCATTAATGTCAGGGCCTCTCACTAGATACGGCCATTATTGATTTATCAATTGATGTTTTTGGGGGTGGTATGGCATATGATGCATTGTCTCATGTACGTACATTAGATGGATTACATTTAGTATCATTTGATCTTCACGGTGTTAAAGTTAGTAAGCCGTGAATTAATGAAATTAACTACCTAAGAACTAAGTTTGGAAAAGACTTACCGTATTTCCTTAAATAAAAGCCCGGGTGTCTATTTCCTAAAATGCCATTTGGACCTCAAAGAAATACAAAAAATAAAAAAAACTTGGGCCCAGAGCGGGGTTCTAACCCGTGACCTCATGCTTCTCACTTTTAGAACTTCAGGCATTATCAACTAGACTACTGAGTTACTCCAGGAGTAATGTTGCGTATTTATAGTTAAATTGTATTGCTACCCCAGCGTTTATTTGAATGCGGCTTCTATTTAAGGATATATGGTACCTCAAATCATGAAAAGTAAAGGAAAGAAGAGAAAGATTCAAGTGACAGGTATAACTGGTGAAACTTGTAGTAAGAATGCCAAGGTGTCTGTAAGTCATGTACAATGTACTAGTAACAGTACTGTTAGTAGCAATAAACGTAAGAGTACTGAATTACAAAAGTTTAATCGCCCAAAAAAAGAAAAGTATATGATGATAATGCCTTAAATAAGCCTTGTCCCAAGACAGAAAAGTTGATGTAGACCGTAGTACTGACAATACTGCTTTAGTATTGCCTCGCTCAACAAAGATAATAAATTAATTGTTTCAATTAATTTAAAAAACGTAATAACCAAATTTAATGTCAAACATGATGATAGTTGTAGTAGTCAGATTGCATCTTTAAAACTGTCAAACATTAAATGTAAACCAAAAGATGATAATGGAGTGTGTTGCAAAAAATGACCATTGTAGTAGTAGTCTGATTGTATCTATAAAACTCTCAAGCATTCAGTTAATGACAAGTAATCCAAAAAAGGATGATAATGTCATATTTACTGACAAAGAGCCTTCTAACCCAGATATTGTGAGGAGACAAAGGGATTATGTTTGTTTCCCTGGTATTGAAGAATTTTTAAGACGGTGGTTTGAGATTTTAAATCTCATTTGTCAAGCTGCTATTATCTTACCTGGTAGTCCAGCAACACCATTGTCAGATGAAAGAGCTCCTAATAGTACTCTTGATGTCCCTGGTGATGGGAACTGTTTATTATATGCCCTTTCATTTTTAATTACTGGGTCAATTTCTCAACATTACAAAAACCAATTGTTAGTATATATACATCAATAGATCGTTTGGGTACAGTTACTTCTGTGGTTGGGCTACCCACCTTTGGTCTATATCATTTAACATATCTGATGTTTAATGCATTACACCATGCTTTTTGAGTAGCTGCATCAAGGGGATGGTATTTTAAATTACTAGGGCTCGTGCTTCTTCCTGTCATCTAACAATCATCACTATTGTCGTCATTATTATTATTATTATTAACAGTCGGTGATTTTTGGGGGCAATTAGCATTAGTCTTATTGTCATATGGCCTGCTTTTCTTATTATAGCTACCTTTGGTGGTAGCATTTTTTTGATTTTTTGTTTGTGGCTTATTTATAGTTCCAGTAAGTGTACGCTTTCTTCGTACGCTTTCTTCTGCCACAATCTGTAGGAATCGCATATTGTGGGAGGTCTGGTCTGTACAATTGTCTCAATCTGTTTTCTTTTATTTGGGTTTAAACATGTTGAATGGACACCAGACAGTGTTCGTACTCGTGGTAAAGCAATGTAAGCCATTCTTCCACATAATACATTATCAGACAGATCAATGATTGCATTATCTAGTAGCAGTCCCTGACATTTGTGTATGATAACAGCAAAAGCTAATATCAAAGGAAACTGGCTCCTATGCACAAAGACATTTTTCATTACCGTAAACTTTCTTTTCACTATTTCAATCTGACAAGGATCGGCTATTTTATCAAAAGTTATGCGTTTTTGAAATGGCCTGCACTGTACCAAGTGCTTCATTCACTAATCCCTTTTCAACATTTACATTACAATGTAGCATTACTCTAGACCCCACAGCCAACTTTAATTTGGCTACTAGACATATCCTTGTTTAATTCTTTCAACCTTTTCTCAAGCTCTTTTTTTAGTCATCGTCTTTTTTTGACGTACATGTATATTTCCAGTACCATCAAATAAATTTGTGGCTTTAATTTTCACGGTTAGACTTGTTAAATTAGCAGCATTGTTTCATTAAATTCCTTACACATATCTACCTTTGGAAACAGACAAACTTGGACACTACCATCCAGTTGTAATATTATAAAGAAGTCTTCAATGGGCATCGGAAATACTCTTTTAGAAAGTGTAGCGAGAGTTTGATTGTCTAAAGACCACCCTGTCTCACTTCGTCTTACATTTCTGAAAATTTCTGGTCAGTTTTTTGTCTTTCATTTATATTGTCAATTTGCCATTGGTGACAGCATCACGCCATATGTTCACTCCACCCATACTACCAAGTCTATTTCAGTTTTGATGCTGTTACTTTGTCAAACAGTGGTTCACCACAAGCAGGTGGCAATTCAAGGACATCACCGACAAAGAGGACATTCTTACCACCAAACTATTCGTGTGATTGCAATAAGTCATTCATTCTCATATGTATATAAGTGAGATTGAGGCTAAAAACCATGGACACTTCATCAATGATTGCTATTTTCAGATCCTAAAGTTCTGTTTTCATTACTTTGTGACTAGTCTTTGGTATTGACCAGTATGAGGCACACTGCGCATCATGTTCTATTGGCAGCTAAAACAGTCAGTGTACCATTACACCTCCAACAGTGTAAGGTGCTAATCCTGTTGGAGCACAGATTGCACATGTCTGTTTGGTCAGTGTTGACCACAGGCTTTTCACTAGTGCTTTAATTGCCTCAATAAAAAAAGATTTACCGGTGCCACCTACAACACCATTGAACATGTGCAATGGCTTCACACTTTCTGATTGCTCTCTCTCTCGTGTTTCAATTTCTTTTTATATTCAATCTGCCTCAACAAATGAGCTTTCATGTGATTATTGACGCGTTTATGGTCTACATTAAGCATCAATTCTCTCACTTGTAGAGATAGGCCAGATTGAGTGTCCATACCTCTCACATCATTTAATGCATCTTTAATTCATCCCATCAGTTGTGGATCGTCATCTTCCACATCATTTTCCTCTTCCCTGTTGGCTACTATGGCGTCTTGTATGTCTTTTAATTTCTCTCTACATTTGAGCAACTTCTGAATTTCTCGTTTGCTTCAACACACCTTTTGTAGTCGACAATGTGGTGATCAAATGCCTCTTACACAATTTCGCCATTTTCAACTAATTCATTCTTGTTTCGAAACGGCACCAAAAGGAGAATAATGGCATAATAGAAACTCTCAGATTTTATTTATAGACATCAAAATCAATAAATTATGGAAAGGCACTCTTTCTGTAGTGGTCTATAGATTTTTGCGCCATTTTTATCCTTGCACTTGTAAGTGAGTTTGGCTAAAAGTGATAAAGGCAATACTCTTCATATTTTTTGGCTATGTAGGGATAAAAGTGAGTGACAAGGCCCTCCCCATAAAAGTCTTTTGTTGATGGTTCATTTGCTGCTATTTTTTTCAAATTTACTGAGTTTCTTCATTAAATTTTGCTTTACTTTAAGTAGCATTTCTGCATCGATCCATGATACTCCTCTCAATTTCCTACGAAGTGGCTCGCCGAGTAGTGTATCACAGGTTTCATATAGTCCAATGAATTGGCTGTCGAGACATCTTATGCCAATTCTGAACAATTTACTGTAGATGCCTTTATCATCTAAAATGTCTTGCCAGAGATCCTGCATGTCACCCTTTTCTGCCTTTGTCATGTAGCTACTCACATAATCTGCCAGAGCTAGGGAACACTCACTGGTAAAGGATACATCAATATTAGCCTTCCATAACAACAGAAGCAGAGGATTGTAATCGTTGACTCTCACTTCTTCCTTGCTCGGTTTTAGGGATATATATTTTTTTCTGTTTTCATGCTTTGTTGGACATTTTTCAGAACACTTTCTTTGGCAACTGGGTGAAGAAATCCAAATTTGCACTTTGTAACAAATACGTTTTTGCTAAACTTTCTCTTTTTCTTACAGTAATTTCTGAACTTGTGTAACTGGTACCTCGTAACAATTTGATGTAAATGTAGACAGGTGTCTTTATTTCGTATGTTACAAGTTACTCTTTCGTCTATGAAGCTGACGACATCTTTGGCTCTACACTCGGCTACAACTGGAGCGTTGCCTATCCGGATTAAACAGTGATAGAGAGGAGCTCCTCTGCCTGGTACTATTTCTTGCAATAAATCTCGCTAACAGGGCCCATAACCTGTCCCTTGATCAATACTTTTTTAAACGTTTCGTTAAACTTAATAAAAAACCATCTCGATACAGACATGGGAACTTTTGTGCAGAGTTTGCCAGTATAATATGACGGTGGGACAAAGCTTGCCTTGCGCAAGTACTCTCTAATGTCTTCGGAAGTATATTCTGCATAGCTAAATGTGAAAA